CATGGGCCGGGTGCTGTTCCCACCCCGAGCTGGAAAAACCGTCGTCATTTGAAAATGCTTTGGACGACGCAGCTGCCGGGAGCAAACCCCCGTCCTGTCTGGGTTTCGCGAGGGGAGGATCCGTGCGCCTGGGGCTTCCGCCAGGTCTGCCGCCTCCGCCACGGGAGAGGCACCCTTCTGGCCCAGACTGAGGGTGCGGAGTGGGGTGGGGCCGCGTCTCAGCCTGTGCCCGAGGCCAGCAGCTCACCCCGAGGCCTCCCTGGAGCAGCGGAGAAGGCCCAGCCACATCCAAGGGGAAGCCAGGCCCTGCATTTTGGAGAACACCTCGGGACCGGAACCCCCAGGGACGCCCCCCGTCATCCGTCCCAGGCATGAGGTCAGGCGCAGCCTGTGGAACCCCACAGGCTGAGGCGTGTCTGCAAGGAGCACACAGTTCCTGAGCCATCAAGAGACGTGACCTTGCCACGCCCAGCCTGTGGGAGACCCTCGGCCAGTGGGCCGCCGCCTGTCCCCTCGGGCTGCCCAGGCCTTCCTCCTCTGCCTCCTCGTGCTCTGCAGTCCCCGTGTGCCGAAGCAGAGCTCACAGTGCTAGGGGGCTGGGGGCGGGGCGCGTACGGAGCAGCAGAAGTGCGAGGGGCCCGGGGCGCCCTCCCAGCCAGGTGGGACGAGGCGGCTCGCCTTCCGCTTCCAGCTCAGCTGGAACAGCGGGGTCCTTGTCACACTCTGCTCAGTGCCACGTCTTCCCTGACTCGGTGCTTTGGGGCGGCGGTCTATGTCCATGGCCCTGTGCACAGGGCCGAGGGGGGCCTGCTGGCCCCGTGCGGGGAAGTGGCACCTCACGGAAGAGGTACAGCGAGAGCCGCGTCAGGCCCGGGCGCTGCTGCCCGCGAGTTCAAGGTTAAAGCCCAGAAGGCTGCGTCGGATGCAGTGTCGTTGAGACACATGAAGCGAGGGCACGTCAGTGTTGGTGAGCACGTGACCGCAGGCTTGCCGCAGCCCGGCCGCTCACCGGGGTCAGTGTCGGTGTCACCTTCATGGAGCATGAGTCGGGGGACACAGGATCAACCGTGCTGCTGTCCGCCCCGCCGCCAGGCTGCCGTGTGAGGGGCGGGCCCGGGGCTCCCTCCCAGCGCAGGGAAGGAGGCGGCTCCCTGCGGCCTGTCGCTGCCTGTGTCCCTCAGTCCCTGTCTCTTTCTCAGTCCGTGTCTGTCTCTCTTTTCTGCGTTGACCATTAAACGGACCACAGCCCTTTCCCAGGCCCAGCAGTCACCCTTGAGACCACCGCCCTGCGTTCCCATAAGACGTGAGACCACCACGTGACGAACAGCTGGCCTGCAGTTTCCTGGCCCAGGAGAGACTGCAGCTTCTTGAGCCCCAGCCACGTGAGGCGGCCAGCAGCTGTGGGGGACATGCGGCCAGTGACCTCAGCTCCCCTCCTCGGCCAGCGTCTGCGTGACCGAGGACTCAGAAGCCAGTTAGAGCAATGGGACCTTTTTCAGAGAGCGTGTGTGTGTCTGACAGCCTGTCACCTGGAGCCACCCTCTAGATTCTGAAGTCTTGCGTGTGTTCCTTTATGAAAATATGGGTGGCCCAGGGACAGAGGTGACAGAAAACATTTGGATGAATGTCAGTCAGTGACCCAGGAGGAACAAATACTTCAGGGATGAGCTCCCTGTCACTGGAAGCATCCAAGCAGAGAAGATATGTCCTCCTGGGGGTGACGCCTGTCCCCCTCATTCATACCCCAGTGCCCCTATGCTAGGTCCACGGGAAGGCTCTGCCTGGCCTGGGCGAGCAGACCCCGGGACACTGTGTGTGCGGAGACAGTGTGACAGCGGGGTACCGGGGGACTGTGCTCGGCTGCCTTCGGGGCAGAGAGAGGTTGTCACCTCGGCTGTGGCAGGGCAAGTCCCCACCCGTTCTGTGTGACCTGGGGCTGAGCCTGGCACTTGAACCTGGTCTGCAACTCTCCAGGTGGGTTCAAGGCCTTTCTTAGGAAGTTAGGAAGGAGCCACCTGCCCCCCAGCAGCTGCAGAGACGGGGTAGAAGGCCACCCCGTCTGGCCCCAGGCCTGAGCAGTCTCCGCGCCTGTAGTCAGACGGTGGCCCTGGTGTCCCAGGAGGTGACAGAGACCACCTGCCCTTATCCCCGTCCTTGTTAGCAATGTGCTTCTGCCTCCTGGCCTGGAAGGACAAGAGCCACACTGAGTGGCACAAATAAGCGGCTTCTCCGTGAGTTCCGGGAGGGGTGGGCCGGGCCCCCAGCCTGACAGGCAGACGCAGTGTCTCCCCACAGCCTTCGGAGGCACCCGCTTCCCCAGCCTCACCGTGGTTCTCCATTTCAGCTGGTTGTGTGACAGCTGTGACTCGGAGCCCCGGCCCCTCTGGCTGCCCTGTGCCCTGGACAGCCAACGCTGCTGAGGGCCTGGCCGGCCAGCCCGAAACCAGCGCAGGGCTCCAGGTGCAAACAGTGGCTCTCGTGAGAGGGACCTTGCGTCCAGACAGCAGGCCCCTGCTGTTCTCGAGGGCCAGTACGTCCTCAAGTGACCCTGCCTCCTCCCAGGGCCGAGGTCACTAACCCGGAGCCTGATGCCATTGCCCCCAGCAGCAAGGCTTGTGTCCCTGTGCCCCTGGATCTTTCCCACGAGAACATTTTCCAGTCCCACTCAGCAGACAGGGTCAAGGACACCTTGCTTTCTCCCCAAGGCCGCGGCAGCCGCAGCTGGGACCCGGGCCCACGTCCTCCCCTGCAAGCACAGGAGGCTGTGGAGAGCGCCCCTCCCCCACCCCGTTTCCTCAGTGCCTGGGAAGACGGGAGCCTGGCTGCACCTGCCCAGGTGGCCCCAGGGGCTCCAGGTCAGAGCCACCCACAGTGACCGGGCACCAGGCAGGGCACGGCCTCCCCGTCCCAAGGGTGCTTGTGGGCCGGGTGCAGGAAGCCTGCTCCCCAACAGCCAGGCGCACTTGGGGCCAGGCCTGCATGTATGTAGGGGCCAGCGCGCTGAAGCCGGACATAAGGGGCTCTGACCTTGGACGTCCTGAGGCCACTGGGCCCCCAGGTCCAAGGGAGGGCCGGGGGTGTGGCCCTGAGAAGCCCTCCAGCCCATCCTGCCCAGGCCCGCGGTGTCCTTTGCGGGAAGTGGCTGCACCTCCGGGGTCCGGCTGAAGCATCCAGTTGGGTGAGAGCTGGGATGGGGGGTGTCACCTCCGCAGCCCATCCTCCCGTGAGCCAGTCACACTGTCACCCTTTAGGGGCACTCAGGCCAAAGACTGGGGTCTGTGCCTCAGACGGCCCCTGGGCCCCACTGACGAGCCCTGCAGTGCGCAGCTGATGGGAGAAGCTGGCCCCTAGGGAAGCACCTGGCGCCCCACATCCCCACCGTTTACCTGTCGCGGGGACTAATATGGCAAGCCTGTCCCGTCCCTGGTGTGGGCCCGACTGCCTGTGCAGAGTCCCGCGGCCGCCTGAAACGCGGTGGTTGACCCCTAAGCTGCTCTTCAGACGGACAAAGGTTCGTGGAGAATCAGCTGCGTCCCAAACACTGCGCTAAGTGCTAAAGACCTCAGCATGGACAGCGAGGCCG